AAACTTAAAAAGATGTGAATACAAAACCTAATCAAGACAAGAGATAATAAAAAGAAGCATAATGAAATTAAATACAGCCTTTCAGAAGAACATTATATTCAAGGAAAGCCAATATTTGACATATAAAATCTGAAACTTCCTAAGGAAATAAAAATCACTTTTAAAAAGAAGTGAGAAGAGTGGATATTTCAACACCTTTTGGTTACTCTGAAAATGAGATAACTTATTCCATATGTTTTTATTGCTTGACACAAGTTAATGTCACATCTGAAAATGCAGAAAATATTTGAAAGATGAAACAGTCTTATTTAAAGGTGTGGGCAAGAAACATTCAGATAAGTCAAAAGATGAATGCTACCTGTTGAGGGAAAATAGAGTCAAAACAAATCTTGAAAAGACAGAGTTTGAACTGTTGTAGAGCTGGAACACTCATTGCAGGGGCTGGAAGTGTATCAGACCTTAAATCTCACTGAGAGTGATTGTAGTGCCGAGGCAGAAGGCTGAGATGAAAAGTAGAAATGACAAAGTAGGACTAAGTGGAGCTACAGAATGGTAAAGGTGTTACAACAGAGTTTAGGGATGGGGTAGCCACAAAAGCAGAGCTACAGCACCCCATCCGACACAAATGAGAATTTTTTGCTAACCAGGATGACTGTAGTGGTGGGTAGCAGCTTCTCTTCAACAACACACCCCACTCCTACACCTGCTGTACAGATACACCCTCACCAGCCACCACTTCAGCTCCAACTTGGGCATCATGGCGCTCTCAGGGCAGCAGGACTCCTCACAGATGGACAAAGAGCCTGAGCCCTGGCCGGTGTCCTGGATTTCATCTGCAGTGTGCTGGGCTCCTGGGAAGGCCTTCCTGTCTAGGAGCTTTACTTCTTTATTGCTAAAGATCAGGTGAACTTTCCAAAGGCCTTGTCAGACTATCACCCCAGGACAAACACCTTTGAATTTCTCTGTATATAAACCCAGCTAGCTCTTTCGACGTGGCTTTCTCTTGCCTTCTGACATGCCGCCCTAAATTTATTACAAAGATGCAGAGTACTTAAGAACAACTTTGTGTTTCTTGGTTTCTTCCCCATGCACACCTACTACATTAAAGGCAGACAGATGTAGTTCTGACTTCCAAATAAGGCTCCCCTATTATTTGTATTTTCCCAGAACATGCCATAATCACCTAATATTACATAAGAGCTGAGCAGATTGCTCAAGGTCTCACTTAAGGGATTCGTGCTTTCAGGTAGGTTTTGATACATTACAAAAAGGAAAAAAAAAAAACCAACAAATTCTTGACAAACTGAGACGTTATATAAATAAAATTCTAGTATAATAGTGACAGTTTGAAAAAATGGCATTCACATCAGAATGAGGCTAAAAAATGTTAGACATATTACATATAGGAACAAGGAAACTTTATAAATCATCCACAGTTCAAATAGACATTTTTCTATGTGCTTGAAAATACATATTGATTTTAGATTATGATTCCCACTTAGCTGAAGAATAAAGAACAAAAACCCACTGACATTATAAATTTGATTTCTTGTACAAATCAATATTTGCAAGATATGACACAAGTCACAGTAAGGATGTGTAAGAAACAAGTTTTAAACATTTGCACAAATTTATTATTTTTTGTATATTTTTCCAGGTCCAAGACACAGTCAAATCATAAAAAAAAGGACTATCAAAATAACTTGAAGGATTTTTAAAAGCCTGCTCTACTACTTTGTTCTGCACTGGGTCCTGGTAAATTATAGGCCAGTACCTCTTGAATCTAAATTTTTAATGGCCTTATGCTATTTAGAAAATTTAGATAAATGCTATTAAAAGTAGGAGTATTGTCAATTCTTTTTAAGCATAATGAAAAGAGCAAGCAGAGAAGTCCAGTAGGTTAAATCTGCAATTGCATAGCCATCTAACAGTATGAACTCAAACATCAAAAATGTGGACCTTTTCCCCATGAAGATGCCACTTTTTGTTAAAAAGGTTAAATACCAGTGACTGATACGAGAGTAAAATGTGAAAAACAGAGCCAACGTGAAGAAGTTCAGGCAGAAGAGTAGCTTGAAGACCAGGTTTTACCAATGGAAAGTTCTAAACAGAGCAGTGCAGGGACTGAGAACAGCTCTGTACAGCCTGCTATATGTGCAGCACATCAGAGATCTCGAGATAAAAGGCACCATCCCAAAGACTGACTGAAAATACAGGTACATATTGTATGATATATTATTTATACACTGTGTATGTGTTATATGTGTGCATTTCTTTCCTCTATAAGTAGTGTCTTTTTCTAATTTTCTTCAATATAGCAATTTTCAACAATTAATATAAAATCAAATTAATTAAAAATTAAATATAATTACTTTATTGTAACTGCAATAAAATAATTCAAGAGAATCAAAGTAGGTGTCAAAAATACACAGAGCAGAAATTCAGATCCCTGAAATAATTGTCAGGCTGCTTCTAAATGGAACTGAAGAAATGCATCACAACAATAAAATCCTGTCAGTACCCATGATATGCAACCATCATCTCCAGGAATTTTGTCTTCACAACACACCACCTTCTACAGATGAGATTAAGCAGAAAAAAGGTGGCAAATGAATGGACAAAAATGAAGAGAAAGGCTGATGTAAGAGCAAATGCAAAACTTTTTATTTGTTCAGTTGCTCTAGATAAAGTCCTGAACTTCTGGCTTTGAGTATTTTGATGCTAAAACCGAGACTGAAAATCTTTCATCTTCAGAATTCATGGATCTTCAACCATTACTAGCTAACTGAGGTTCTTTAGGTCACTCCAGATAAAACCACCTTTCCTGGTGTATAGAGAAGGTGCTGAAAAGCTTGATGATTTTAAAGTTTTAAGCTAAGCATAGAGAAACCTGTGCATCATGTCCTTAGTTACTGAATTATTATTCAGTAGTACTGAACTAGCAGTTGAAGACATCAAGAGTTTGGAAACTCCAAGTAGTATAAATTATCTGCTGACAAGCTCAGGTTTAGTTAAAGTACAAGCAAGGGTACTATGTACAAAGCTGGATCTATAGAAGGTCTTCAGCTTTTATATACTGTTACTTCCTGAAAGTAAGGACCATTCAAATATCCATACAAAAAGCGGGCATTTTTTAATCCTTTAAAAAGCTCCATTATAAGGCCTAAAATTGTTCAGAAATGTTTTTTTATTTAAGCAAATTGTAATGGCTGTCATTATGATTTAAGGTCTTCTACAGAATCTCTCACATAATATATGTCTGCCTAAATTACTGTGGACCTAATTTTAGATAAAATGCTAAAGCAAATGTTCAATAAATGCATGAGTAAGCAAAGAAAAGCAAAACAGGTATTTAACATTTGTGACTGATGTTATCTTCTTAAAATATTTGAATAAAAGTACATTGGGTTTATTAATTAGATTCCATACTAAAAATGAATGTTCAGTCATCATCTCTCTAAAAGGTTTGTCATTGTATTAACACCAGCTAAAAAAAACAACCTAATGTAAATCAATGCCAGATGCATTTCTTTACAAAATATTTTCTTATCCCTTGGCTGGCAGGTAGGAGGAGAATTTTCAGGATGAATATATACTTAAGCCAAGACTATTTGGTTGCCAGAAAAAATAAATCTAATTAGAAAGATGTTATGTTAGAAAAAGCTATAGAAAATTCCATAGTGAGATGTATTGCTATTGCCCCTGTGAGGCCTGCTTTTCTTTTTGCTAATAAAACTTTGAGGCGATTTTTCCAAGAAAACTGTGTTTTTCAGTCTGTTCCGTTAACTTTAAAATTGCAGCAAAAATAAAATGTACTGGCAACAACTCTTTTAATCCAAGAATGGAGAGAAAAAACTAAGCAAGTGCAAGTATCATTGAACTCTGAGATTTTTGCACACTTACAGGTTCCCTGCACTGTCACCCTGAGTTAGCAGATCAAATATTCAGCTTAAGATTCCATAGGACAAGTTCCTGGACCAAGTACGTATACCTTAACAGGTGACTATAGAGGACTCTTTGCTTTAGGCACTGGGTCACACAATTATTTTCATTGTCAATTTAATTTCATACTTTATTTTATTCAGTCAGAACCATAAGAATCACATAATTTCTACTGGAAATCACACAACATCCAGCTTTATCTAATTTTCACCAACCCCTGAAAATGGGTTTGTAGAACTATTATTCTTCTTCACCAAATCCCTTTGAAATCAATGGGATTTTCAGAGCAGAGTGACTGGCAGATGGGCCCTCAATCGATAGAGAGGGGTAATTTTGACTACAGATTAAAGCACAAACATCACATATCATAAAGTAAACAATATTTAATACTCTGCAGAACACATTTTTTCCAAGTATTAAATGTACCTAAAAATCAATTAAAACAAATAAAACAAACCTTCTCTAAATAAGCAACAGCAGCATTACTATCTAAGCCATGTCTTTCATTTGGCTGAGCTGAACTGCAGTTCAGCTCACATTGTACAAACACAGATGGGTCACAGCAGTGACACAAACCTCGCCTTGTAACTCCTTATCATGAGCTGGATTCTGATCATTATCAACTTAAGTATCCTGAAAGCTGCTGCGATTCTGGTTGTCAGTTACAGCACAGCTTCAAGTGGCAGCTCTGGATGAGCAAGGCTGGTGGAAGATGTGCCTGTGGCCTTTCAGCCTGTCTTGCAATGACAACAATGGACGAGGAGGGAAAAGGCTCAGCAAAGGACAAGTGGGCACTGCACTAAAAGAAGATTGGTTTTATCCATACTTTGTTGTTACAGTGCCTCTGAAAATATCGCTGGTGCCAGGTGGTGTCTCAACAATACTATCTTTCCTTTTAATCATCCCCCTGCATGCCCTGAGTGCAGTCCAGTGGGGATGCAGCAGAAATGCTCTCACTGAAAAAATAGTTCTAGTAACATAGATGACCAGCAACAGCAACAACCTTACTTGGGGTAACTGAGCTCAGGCAACTCATACCTCACAATGCCTTGGGGAATGTCATGTCCCAGTGACTCACTCATGGATCCTCCAGGGCTATAAAAATCATATCCAAATTCATCACACCTCATCAAAGGTACTCTGGCTTGACCAGTCTTCTGTAGTCTCCCAGCTTGAAAAAATATTGCTTGCGCATATTGAAAGATACAATTTATAGCAACTTGTAGTCATCCAGTGGGAAATTTCCATTCCACCACAATAGGAATGGAGATCCCACCTCTGGGTGATCAGTGATGTAAAGCTTGTTTTCCACAAATAGAAAGATGTCAAATTCTCAAAAAGTAGCCTGTTGTTCTTTATTTTGTTTTATTTAATAAAACATTGAGACTACTGAGGAATATTGCCTCACACATGGATGTGCCATGTTTATGGTGGACCAGAAAGCATGCTTCCTGCGTACATTACATCTCTGCAGTATTTCCCAGGGATATATATCGGGTTGTACAAATGTCATTCAGCTGCACAAACCCTCCAATTACAGCAATAATTTGCTTGTGAATTTCAGACTGCTGTACAATGATTTGTAGAAAACATTTTTCCAAGCTCCTGGGAGACAGCACTACCAACTTCCAGATCAAGGTCAGGTGTCCCTGCCAGACCGATGGAAGCTCCTGACAGTACAATCAAAGTAGCCTTTCACTTCTTGGAAATAGCTGACATGTGAGTTGGAATAAACCCATAATCCCACAAGGTAAGTAAGTGATGTGCATCCATAACACTGTAATCTAAAGAAGTGTGGATGCAGGTTCAGTGCCCCTGATCCTTGATCCAATCCCTGGGAATTTCAGACAAAATCTCATCCCAGGCTGTGACTGATGGAGAGCTGAAGCAACTCGGACTTTCACCTTGACTAAGCTTTGGAATAAAGTTATAGGAGCAATGCTGGCACATACTTTTTATGGAGTTCTGTGCTCCATATATGCAAGGGTTATGCATGGAATAGAAAAAGAGGAGGAATATAAATAACATCTGGTTTGCAGACCAAAGTCATTCTTCAGAGCTTGCTTCTCCTGGAAGCAAGTATAACTAAGGTTTTCCATGAGCACGCCAGAAGCCTGCAATGCAGGTGCTGCTGGGAATTTCTAGACTGGGTGCTTTCCCAAGAGAGGCCTCAGGGAACAACATAAGGGCAGCATGGCACTCATGTTCAATCCCACCTGCACAGGAGCTGACCAAGGCACTTCATGATCTCTGTGTGCTGGTGTCACAGAACACTTCACTCTCAGCACAGCCATAGGTAGAAGACCATAATGAGCACTCATATAAGAAAAGATTTTCTCTGATGAGCTGATCAGATCCCTCTTGGGTAGTTGGGGTCTAATTAATGACTCCCTGCTGCTCTACCTTTGTAACAGAGCAGCTTTAGTTTAAAACAAATTAATTCCACATGGAAAACCAGTGCAATACAGAAATCAATCAAGTGCTCTGTATTTACATAAAGACCAATATCTTCAGCCAACACAAACTGGAGTGATTCTGCTGAAGCCAGTGGAGTTGCACTGATTTACACTAGCTCAGGCTCTGCTCTAATATTTTAGAAATAATGATCTAAAGCCTCATATAACCTATACCAGAACAACTCCATCAAATTTATACATCAGCTGAGGACATGACCTTTTATTGAAATGACTATGTTAGAATTCCCCTTTGGTTTGTTTAAAACATTGAAAAACAGTAACCGGGTTGTTGATTGGTATGCCCTAACCCAGAGGCGCAGTGGTTCAGATGCTGCATGCTACATGGCTACAGTTTTTATGCCATCATTGCAAAAGTATTTCAGAGCAGAGACAGAATGGGTAGTAAGGAGGTAAATCTGCCCTATGGCAATCCTTCATTGTATATGCATCTCTCACTTGCCCAAATTTCAGAGTGAATACTGCATATGGTTTTGCCCTCTGGAGCATGAGATTCCCTTTTTGTTAGTTTGGTTTTCCCTTTAGCTTCAAAAAGTATTTCTTATGGCTCAGGTGCTTAGTAGAAGATAGGGAAAAAGAAATGTGCAAATATGTAATTGAAGGTTCAGTGACATTCATAAGATTTTGACATCTTGATGTCTCTTTGTCAGGTTAGTTTCTGAGCAGAAGATCCTTTATGGCATAAGCAGATGCACAAGCACTTCTTCAAATGCTGTTGGTGAATTGCTTTTGCACAGAAACAGAAAAATTATTTATCAACTATCCAGCCCATTTTTTTCTACTCTGTACTCCTTAAATCTCTATGTGTTTTGATAGCTGTTAATACTGAATTAGTGCATTATCTTAACACTATAGAAATTTTATCCATGTTTAGAAATAGCATACAATATCTGGCATACTACCTGCAAAAGTTCATGCATGAGGATAAATTAAGACTATAGAATCATGGAATCAAAAAATGTTTTAGCAGGTACCTTTACAGCCCCTCTAGTCTAATCCCCTGCAATGACCAGGGACATCTTCACCTGGATAAGGTTTCTCAGAGCCCCATCCACCCTGATCTTGAATATTTCCAGGGTTGGTACATCTACCATGTCTGAGCAAACAGTTCCAGTGTTCTACCGCCTTCACTGAAAAAAATTCTTTTTTATATCTAGTCTTTACTTTAAAAATAAATTATTGATAACACAGTTTGATTCTTTTTAACCCAATGAGATTACTTATATAAGTAAATTAACTCATAAATTAAAAGTGTTTCCAGGTATTTCACTTTAATCTCAAAAATGAACTGCTGACCTGTTAAAGTCAAATAAAATATTTGAAACATTGATTTTCATTATAATTTTAGCCCAATGGCAACAAACAGATGGGTAGGTACAGATGACAGTAATGCTAAACAAAGTATATGAAAAAGGCAATAAGGCAATAAATTCAGTCATTGTTATGATGAGCCAGTTAAATTCAGTTAAATATTCCACTATGATTTTCCTCCTTAAGTAAATATGCATTGCAGCAGACCAATAGGAGAAGATACAGAAGGCAGAAGAGTCCATAGTAAGGACTTTTGGGGTGCATCGTATAATACAGGGATTTCTAAGAATACCTGCAGTCAGTAAGAAGTCAATGCCAATAAAACCGGTACAGGGAAGGAATTCCAAGAATAAAAAAGCATGTCCAAAATTACTTAAAAAATTACTTTAAATGAGCAATTAACAGTAAGGACCTTGCTTATGTATGTCAGGGAAATTGGAGTCACTCTGCCAGTGTCAGTCAAACTGCACTGATTAATCAACAGAAGAGCAACCTAATGGTCAAAAAAATTTAATTTTTTCCTGGCTCTGAGGGATGTATTTGAATGATTGTTTTAGTATCTAGGATTTTGATGCATTTGAAATAAGAGTTGACAGAAAAGAGCTGGAAGATGTTTTTGGAAGAATTAGTAACACAGTCCATATTTTGATTCTATAAAATTCAAGAAACTTAAAAATCAAGTATAGTAGCTTTTATTTTTATTTTCAAGAGACGAAATAGACAAGGCATTAAAATCTCAAATCTCTGAAGCTGATAAGTGTCTGTCCTGTCCTCACAGTATAACCTAACTTTGCAAATCTACACTTCATGCTTAAGTGTAAACTGGTAGCAATTTTATCTATATTGCATCTGCATAATGTAAAACTGTGATTGCCGCATGTTGCGTTCCAATTTATCTTGATTCAGTGAGACACAACATATGGCCATATTGCGCATTAACTTCTGCAAAATTATGCTACTGGGAAGATACATTGCCTGAGAATTGTTAGTGTCCCATCACAGTCCTCCACAAGTCATATCAAATACTTTATGCCTGATGCTTTGACATACAGATGGATCTTGGTATCAGCTTGCAATCCATTTGTTAAGTCATATTAGCCATGGGAGGTGTCTGCAGTAGGTTTTGCTGTATACGACCAGGGGTTGCAATGGGAGAAAGGGATCTTCAAAAAGATAAAAGGAAAGCAATAAACAACAAAAAAAATTGTTGTGATATGCACATTTTTAAGTATTCCATTCTCCTTTTTTATCTTTTCACAGTACTTGTGTGTATATTTTTCTTTTTTTTTTTCTCTCTCTAGTTGGTGTCACCTTAGTTTTAAATTATTGTTTCCTTCCTGTCTTTGCAGCTTTCCCAAGTAGATTGTAAATCAAAAGAAGACCAGGCTGAACTCTTCCCCTCTTTAAACCCAAAGGGCACTAAGTGCAGATTTTCAATTACAAGCACTTTGGCTACAGCCTTCAATCCAGTCCCACTGCAAGTATTTTTACCAAGGGAAATTTGTTATAAAGGACAGGAATATGCCTCTAATCGCTTTATGGAAGCATGTTGTTGACACTAACAAGGTCTTGATCTAGGGACCTTAGATTTTCCAAAGATAAGCTAAAGTTTTGAATCTGAAAAAACATACTTTTCCCTGGTAAAAGTGTTAGGAGAGACAGCCCTGTGAGTCATGACTTAGCATGACCTTGCTGTGCTGTCTGTGCTGTGCACAGCTTATTGTGGAGGAAAAATCTCAACTCTATATAAAATAACCCTCCCCCAAAACTTGCAGTTATAATGAAGTGAGGAAGGTTAATAAAAGGAAAAAAATGGATCAATATACCAAAATCAAAAATACTGCTGCCCATCATTATGGAAATAGTAGGAAAAATATATGTGAAAAAAAATTAGGAAATGCTTTATTTGATTATCATTTTGATGGAGTATTTATGCAATAAAAATATGTACTAACCAAAAAAATCACTCAAGGTAATACAATTTTGTAAGAAAGAAAATTAATTTTAAATTTATGCCAATCTTAGATGGTTGTTTTATAATGATATGCATGTGCATGTCATTTTCTGCTCTTAATGAGTGTAACCTAAAGTTTACTTCAAGTTAGGACAAAAAAGGAACAATTATGGCTTTACCCAATGCTAGTTTACTACACTTAAAGTATGTTTCTCACATGACTAGTAGAAAACAACATTCTTTACCCTAATAAGCACTAGTTTTTTGTAATTAAAATTGTCCACATTTTGAATCTTAGTCATATCATGCCTCTAGCACAAACCAGAGCTCCAGTCCTGCAAACATATGCCCATACCTCACTTTACATAACCTCACATATGTCTAAATTTACATAGCAAATCTGTGCCACCGAGCACAATTTTTCTGAGAGAAAGATGAAAATTGTTCATCAGTGTTTGGGGGAACCATGGATTCTTAAGGAGAAGTCCAAGAACAATTCAACAATAAATGTAAGACATATAAAAAGTAGAACAGTATTTTTAGAAAAGCATGCATGAGCTTTTGAACAAACGTCAGGCTCAAAGAATCTTATCTCATAAAGCATTCCTGACAAAGATCATCCAACAGTATTAGGTAGAGGAGTCTGCAGGGATGAAGTCCTGTGATTACAAAAAGAAGAGGAGGAAAAGAATAAGCTGGGACAAAAGAAACATGTTATGTGTGGCAAATTGTTTGGAAGCAAGACATCTTTTTCTTGCTGTCACTACTAAAATAAATTCAAGATGCTTTCATCTGTAATGGTGCTTTCAAGTCTGCAAAAAATCCTTTCCCCACGCAGTTTCCAAAATTATTGTATAGGAAAAAAATTGAGAAAACAGTAGCAAAACAATTATAACTATTCAGTCTGTATTGACAAATAAAAACTAGCTAATTGCCATCATTGAGTTTGATCAGTACAGAAACTTTTTAAATGAAGAGAACCAGTTTTGCCACCAGTGAATGCTGGCTGTGAAATCCTACTTGCCATTCTTTACTCCTCTCTCCATGGCTATAGCCAGATGATTTATTTATGCACAGCTTGTTTGGACAACTGCAGGTGCTGAGCTGTGAAAAATTACAGATAAACATTTGGGGGTTAAATTATAGACATCTCCTTTAAGGTACTTTAGACATAGTTATCTTTGTGTCTGCTGATTTTCAA